CGGAAATCAGCAAATAAACAGCTCAGCACACAGGCGTGACGAGTACTTGCAAAGAAGGACCACTTGAAACCGACGGGTTTTCCAGAGGCAGGCTGAGGATACTGAAGGACACAGGAATGAGAGAGTCGCTCCATGCACAGATGAGCTGTAGCATTCCAAGAGCTCCATATCTCCCCGATTAGCAGGCATCTCAAGCTTGCTTAAGGAAAACATTCATGAGACAACTGATTGTGCAGCTGAAGCAGAAATGCCTGTTATGTGCTGCCTCACATAGCATAATTGCTATTGTGTATGTGCTGTTGAGTCGATTCCAACTCACAGAGCCCCCATGTGACAGAGAACTGCCCCATAAGGTATTCTAGTCTGAAATCTTTATGGGAGGGGCCCTGGTGGCGCAGTGGTTAAGTGTTCTGCTGCTAACCGAAAGCTCGGCGGTTCGAACCCACCGGCTGCTCCGCGGAAGAAAGATGTGGCGGTCTGCTTCTGTAAAGATTACAGCTTTGGAAACCCTATGGGGCAGTTCCACTCTGTCCTGCAGGGTCGCTATGAAGTCAGAATTGACTTAACGGCAATGGGTTTGGTTTGTGTTTGATCTTTATGGAAGCAGATCACCAGGTCTTTACTCCCTTGGAGCTGCTGGGTGGGTTTGAGCACTTAACCATTGCGCCACCAGGGCTTCCCAAATAGCATGGAGATGTTCAATCATCTCTCAGGTGTCTTCCCTGCATAGTGGGACCTGCATGGGCCGGGTCTACACCAGGAAAGGGACCATGGGGGCTTGCATGAGTTCTCTCAGAGCTGCTGAAAACAACAGGACCTTATTCTCTCGCTGTTCTGGAGGCTGGAAGTCTGACATCAAGTTGTCAGCAGAGCGTGGGCTCTCTGAAGCCTCTAGGGGAAGATCCTTCCTGGCCTCTTCCAGCCGCTGGTGGTCCCAGGCTCTCCTTGGCTTGTGGCCACATCACTCCATCTCTGCCTCCAATGTCATCTGAAGCCTCTAGGGGAAGATCCTTCCTGGCCTCTTCTAGCCGCTGGTGGTCCCAGGCTCTCCTTGGCTTGTGGCCACATCACTCCATCTCTGCCTCCAATGTCATCTGGCCGTGCTTCTTCTGTCCCCTATCTCTTCTCTTGTCTGATAAGGACGCCAGTCATATTGGATGAGCGCCCACACTGCGCCAGGATGAGCTTAACTGATAACATCTTCATAGACCCTATTTCCAAACAAGGTCACACTCACAGGTGCCCGGGGATAGGACTTCAACATACATTTCTGAGAGACACAATTCACCTCAAACACTGTTTTCCCTCTAATTCCCAAGGGAATTTACTGCTTTGCACATGGCCGAGGGTGGTCATGCTGCGAATTCCTGGGTTTTCTGGAGTGTGAACAGGTTTTAACTTACAACTTGGATCACTGTTATGGATTAAATTGTGGCTCCTCCCACCCCCAAATATGGGTTGGAATCCTGACCCCTATGCCTGTGGTAAAGGAGCCCTGGTGGCACAGTGGTTAAGCTCTCGACTGCTAACCAAAAGGTTGGCAGTTTGAACCCACTAGTGGCTCTGTAGGAGAAAGACCTGGTGATCTGCTCCCGTAAAGATGGCAGACTAGGAAACCCTATGGGGCAGTTCTGCTCTGTCACAGGTCACTGTGAGTTGGGATGGACTTGATGGCACACGGCAGGGCAGCAAGAACATATATGTGGATGTGATCTTGTCTGGAAGTGGGGTTTTCTTTGTGATGCTAATGAGGTCATACCTTAGTAGGATGGGTTCTAAACCTAATCACTTCTGAGTAATAAAAAGAGCAGATCAGACACAGACACACAGAAGGAAAACAGGTGCTAAGGAACATCAAGGATGGCCAACGGACACCAGAGGCAAGGAGAGAAACCCACCGAAGGAACTGACTCAGCTGAGACTCTGATCTGGACTTTCAGCCTCCAGAACTGTGAGGCAATGAATTTCAGTTCTTTAAGGCCACCCAACTGTAGTGGTTGGGTTACAAGGACGCTAGGCAGCTAAGACGAACAGCTACCACTTAATAAGTAACCTTGGGCACATGACTTTAGCCTAACTGTGCCTCAGTCTTCCCAGACGTAAGGCACAGGGATGCTGAGAATACTCTTGACCACCGCAAGGCGGGGACTCAGACACAAAAACAGCAAAGCAGAAACCCAGGGGTGTAACATTCATAAATATAAAGTGCCCACCTCGTGAGCCACTCCCAACAAACGTCAGAAGACCTATTTACACAGAAACATGGAGTGTTGTTGCGATGTTCAAGCGATCAGCATCTGTGAATACTTTATACCAATTAAAAGTGTTTTCCATTAGTTTTTCATATTTCAGCACCTCTTTGCCTTAAATCTCTAGGGAAGCCTTTTCCGACTGGCTGGGAAGCTTATATATAACCCAGACCCACTTGATACCAAGTCAATTGCAACTCACGACGACCCCATGTGTTTCAGAGAACTGTGCTCCAAAGGCTTTTCAATGGTTAATGTTTTGGAAGCAGACTGCCAGGACTTTCTTTTGAGGCACCTCTGGGTAGACTTGAAACTCCAACTTTTTGGTTAGTCTTAAAGCGGCTAGAAAGAAGACAGACCACCTTCACTGGTGTTAACAGGACTGAAGGCTGAGTTTTCTATCAAAACGACAAAAGCTAGAGAGCTAGGGCACTACACCTTTAAATAGTGACATTATATTCAAACCAGAAGTCAATATCCAGGGAAAACACTGTGGTGGTAGTGAAACAGACGTTTTCACTGGAGAGGCTTTTCACATCAGACCCACATATATAAATATCAAATGACAATCTCCATTGACTAGAACTTTCAGAACATTGTTAAAGTTTATTGACAGGAGAAATCCTATCAGTTTGTTTCTGACTTTTAAATGGAATGCCTATTCTGTCAATAAAAGCATAGTATTGGGTGTATTGGTTTATAAAAAAAACCAGTATCTTGATCATATTACACTCATTCCTCACTTACCAACTATCTCCTTATCTGACGTTTCACATTTATGACAATACTAAAACATCTACTATCCGACGATTTTGCGTATTAATGATGTATGTCTGGCAGTAATGAACGGCGAGGTATGAGGTGAGAGTAACGCTGGCTATGATGGTTAAGGTTATGAGTCAGCTTGGCTAGGCCGTAATCCTCATTTGGACAGTTATGTAATGATGTAATCTGGCAGTCATGTAATGATGTAGTCATTCTCCATTTTGTGATCTGATGTGATCATCCTCCATTTTCGCATACTGACCTAGTCTCTGGAACCCAACCTTGTTGATAAGTGAGGAGTGCGTGTAGTTAAGTATTTCTTAGTATGTCATGACTTTGAATATGGAATGCATGACAATTATTTTCTAAAGTGAATTCTAAAAATGTATCTGTTTAAGTATATCTGTTTAATATTAACTGTAGCTGCTACTTTATAAGTCATTGTGCTACTGTTCTTATTGTTGTTAGTTACTATTGAGTTGATTCTGACTCATGGCGACTCCATGTGTGTTGGAGTAGAACTGTGCTCCATGGTTTTCAAGCAGCACAAGGGTTTTCAAGGCTGTGACCTTTCTGAAGCAGATCACCAAGCCTTTCTTCCGAGATGCCTCTGGGTGGGTTCAAGCTGCCAACCTTTGAGTTAGTAGTGGAGTGTTTAACCATTTGTGCCACCCAGCACTACAAAGTATTTATCACCCCCATTTCACAGATAAGGAATCCAAAGCTGAAAGGGTCATAACAAGGTGACACAACTATTTAGTAGCAGAGCCAGGTTCTGAGTTGAAGACTGTTTAGTTTCAAGTCCTTTGCTCTTCAACACTTCAGTTTTCTGTAGAGAAAATCACTCTAGAGTCAGAAAGCCTTCATATCAGCCTAGGGAGTTGTGGACATTATCCGGTAGAGGAACAGAGTAGTGTGCAGACATGGGAAAACTGTTAACGGGAGTTACTATAAGTAGGAGAAAACGCATTCGTTTGCACATAACGTGTAGATCTGTTTTTGAAAAATTGAAAGGACTATTCAAAGCGAGCCAAATTCAGATCCATCTGCCAGTTCTATTGGCATGTGAGCTGCAGTACTGTATCTAGACAGTGACTACTGCTGTGTGGCAGAAATCGATACCTACTGCTTCATGAATTGCCTCTTTCAGGGGTAAAACAAGTGCCTTCCAGATTTCTCTTCCTTTATAGTCATTGAACTCCGAGTGAGGACTTATTAGGTAGGGAGGAAAAACAATACTCTAATAAGTAGTAATTAGTCAGGTCTTCAATGTGCTGTGTATATTTCATTTAAGTGGAATTAGGGAGAGGCTGATATGTCATCTTTGAGGGGCTGTCAGCCGGGCTAAAATCCTGCTGAAAGATGTTTAATGTATAAGCAAACATCAGCTGCCAGCTATGGACAAATCTGTATGATTTCTATTCGTCGTCGCACGTCCCTAATGAAAGGCACTTTAAATGAGCAAAGAAAGTATGACAATTACTCTTTAAACTTTCTTGGGAGGAGTACGTTCTGTTGTAAATTTTCATTATTATGCGTCGGAGTCAATGAGTTATTCAGTGAAATAACAACGCTAGCACGTATCAAAGCAACCAGGCTGATGGGAAAAAAATACAAACAATGTGTGCACCTTGGCTAAGCTGTTGGTATTTTTCCTTTGTATAAAAATTTAAGAGTTTAGCTGCAGCCTTGGTTAAAACAATGTAACACAACCACCACCACCCCGCCACTTGAGACCAAATTTGCCCTAGAGAACTGATCCCCATTTGCAGCGGCCCCATTTGCAGCAGCCATGTCGTTTAGATGTGAATGCAGCTTCCTTGTCTTACGCATGTAGAATGCTTCAGTGCTTAGGAAACATCAGCATACATCCTGTGCACGAACGGGATACCAAATCAAACAGGAGACCGTTTCATCGAGAGTCTTTATTCAAGCACACTAAGGTTCCGTTAAAACATACCAACAGTTGACACCGGTTGGGGTTAAAAAAAAAAAAAAAAAGTCACATGTATCTGTTACATTTGTTGGAGGATAATTTAAAAAAAAAGGTAAAATCATGACTCTCATACAACCAACCACGAACATGTGCCAAAGATGCCATTTAACTAAGTTAGTGAGGGAGCAGTGAGATGTTTTAACAGGCTCAATGGAGAATTCAAAGAGCAGGCTGCAGATAGGCAGAAGGGGACACTGAAACACGTTTGGTGAACAGACACAAAGCTGGTCGGGAGCCAGGGGCAACACTCACTGGACAGGGGCCCCACCCCGCAACCCCATGTGTGACGTGACTGTCCTGCAACCATCAGTCAACGGTAGAGGGCACCCGAAAGGATACACCAACCCAGAATGTCCAGTAACCCTTCCGCCCCCTTTCAAAGGCTCACCATTGTGCCCAGACGCGTTACAGACAAATCTCAAAGGCCGAACACATCTATAAAAACGGATTAACCACAAAACTGCAAGGTCCAACACTTTCTCCCACAAATGTGTCATGACGTTCTGTCTTGTCAAGTACGTGCTGTGAAAATAAAATTGTATTTGTACCGAAGAATGTATTAGGAGATCACCGTTCTTCAAGCTGGGAGATGACCGCGCTGAGGTAAGGGGAAACCATTCTCAAGTGTACATGAGGGTGTGGATATAAGACGTGCTACACTTACAGCCACGCTAAGGAAAGCATTGATTCCAAGGCTCAGAGCTGGCTTCTCAGTAAAAGTCTAAAGACCCATTTGGAAGGATCAAAAGGAATTTTAAAGTTTGCTAATTAGGGGGATTTTAAAGTTTGCTAATTAGCAGGATTAGTTCTCAGGTGTGATCAATAGCTCGGCTTTCTCACTCAGATTACAAACCAAATGGAATCAAACCATCTTCTTTTTATCAGTTGCTATTGTATGCTGGAGCCCTGGTGGTGCCGAGGTTAAGAGCTCGGCTATTAACCAAAATGTCGGCAGTTCTGATCCACCGGTTGCTTCCTGGACACCCTATGGGGCAGTTCTACTCTGTCCTAGAGAGTCGCTATGAATCGGAATCGACTCAACTACAATGAGTTTGGTTTGGTTTGTTGCATATTAAGATCAACAATGACGAGAGTAAGGCAGTATATAATATACATATATATTATGTATGTGCACATACATATATGTATACATGTCACATTTTCCAGCCAAACCACTTGCCATGCCATTGCGTTGACTCCCACTCACGGTGACCCCATGTGTGTCAGGGTAGAACTGGGCTCCATAGGGCTTTCAGTGGCTGATGTTTCAGAAGTAGACTGCCAGACTTTTCTTCCGAGGTGCCTCTAGGTGGGTTCCAACTGCCAACCTTTCGGTTAGTACTTGAGTGAGCAGTTAACCGTTTGTGCCGATCAGGGACTCCCATTTTTCAGCCAGTGTTTAAAAAACTAATGAATGCCAATATATTTTCAGTTTGTCTTGGAAAAGAAAAATTTATGTACATATATATGTATATATATACATACATATAAATACATACCCACCTCTGTGTATGTATGCACCCACCCTACGTCCAATCAGCCTGATTACTCAAATGGTAGTGAGAGTTTGCTCTCTGTCTTTAGGGCTGCCTCTATGCTTCATTTTCTTTCAAGTATCAGGTTACGGTTTATGAGCACTTGAGAGCAAGCAGGCCGCCCCCGCCCCGCCCCGGTGAAAAGGCAGATGTCCCATTAATTCACGGGAGGCCTGGGAGCTAGGAGGGAATATGTCCTGGGAGGTAGCTGAAATGATGGCGCAGGCAGCAATCTGGAGTCACTCGTCGCTGGCCGTGGGGGCCCTGGAGTGGACGCCGAGGACAGAACGGCCGGCTGCTCACTCGTAGGGCGGCAGACCAAACAGCTCAGGCTGGAAATCCTGGAGGGAGCTGAGCAGCATGGTGGCATTCCTGGTCAGGTCCCGGTTCAGGTTCGCATCCGGGACCATGACCACCTGCATGCCCGCCGCCAGGGCCGCCTCCACCCCGTTGGGAGCATCTTCGAACACGAGGCACTGTGGGGCAGGGAGAGAAAGAGAAAGGGGAGACGGCCTTTTACGTAACGAGACACCCAGATCAGGTTTTCATCATTACCATCACCGCCAGCTTTGTGATGGTGCAAAATCAGAAAGAGAGCAGGGCCCTTCCTGCTGGCCCGCTGCGGTTAGGAGTGCACGCCGTTTCTCTCCGGCTCCTCGCTTCCCAGCACTGCTCCTTCAGCGGGGAGAGATTTCCAGCCCACGGCTGCCAAAGCGTTTTTTCAAATGTAGAGCAGCTGCGTGGCCGGCCAAGCCTCTCTGCTTAAAACTTTATTTTATTCAAATTATAAAAATCTGCTCAATCAATAATTGAACACTCCAAGCATGGGAGGAAATTGAAAAAAATCATGCTTTTTAAATGCAAAATAACTTCCAGGCCGTTAACATTTTATGTACTGTGGTTTGAAAATTAAATGATTAGGGTGTTTTAGTTTAAAAATTCAGTCCCTGCGTGTGCCGTGTTGTGTAACAGAGATGTCATTAGCGCAGAGATTTAGTGCCACGTGCGGCATCTCTCCTACAGTGAAAACTGTGAGGGCCGGAACTCGAAGGGGCTGCCTCCATGCAGAGGGTGTGGTCTTACGCCTCCTCTGTTAGGGGAAGATATTTGCGTTTTCCTCCATACACAGGGTGCGGTCTTACTCCTCGTCTGTTAGGGGAAGATATTTGCCTTTTCCTCCTCGGCCCTGGCTTTCGCAGGCTTTACTGTATCGGGGTATTGGCACAGTGGTTCTCGGGGCTTCCTGGGTTCTCCCATTCGGATGTCCACATGGAAAACGGGGTGTCTGCACACTGTGTTTACCACTGTGCTCGAAAATGTTCTATCAGGTAAACAGCACCACAGTAAGCTTCGTACACCAACACGCTCACAACAGCCTGCTCCAGCAGGCTGCTCAGTAATCAGAACGTGTTATCTCTGTATCACCCTCTGTCATGGACTGAACTGTGTCCCCCCAAAACGGGCATCAACTTCGCTAGGCCATGATTCCTAGTATTGTGTGGTTGTCCTCCATTTTGTGATCTGATGTGACTATGCTATGTGTTGTAAATCCTAACCTCTACGATATTAATGAGGCAGGATTAGAGGCAGTGATGTTAATGAGGCAGGACACAATTACAAGATTAGGTTATACTTTGAATCAATCTCTTTTCAGATATAAAAGAGAGAAGCAAGCAGAGAGGACAGGGACCTCATACCACCAAGAAACAAGAGCCAGGACAATACGGTGTCCTTTGCACCCGGGGTCCCTATGCTGAGAAGCTCCTAGACCAGAGGAAGATTGATGACAAGGACGTTCCTAAGAGCCGACAGAGAGAAAGCCTTCCCCTGGAGCTGGTGCCCTGAATTCAGACTTCTAGCCTCCGAGACTGTGAGAAAATAAATTTCTGTTTGTTAAAGTCATCCACTTGTGATGCTTCTGTTACAGCAGCACCAGATGACTAAGACATCCTCCATCTCAGAAAAACAGGCACCTAGAAACTTCCCCAGTGTTCGAGGAGTCACCACACGCTTAATGTGAAAAGAGGTTTATTCTCTCTTTGCAGCTAACAGCACACACTGGCCAGGCTGTAAGGGGTAGAGGGGCTCCTCCTGTGACATAAAATGCCCTCACTGGCCCCGCTGTTCTCCACCTGGAACCTAGAACTTCCTGGTGCTCAGTTTATGAGCTGAGTGTGATAAACATTTGCAGCACCCAGGCACTCCCTGAAAAAGCATAAAGGATGATGGACAGCCAAGTATTAGTAACAATAAGATGTGGATATAATAAACCAAACCCACTTCCATCGAGTCGATTCAGACTCACAGCGACCCTGCAGGACAGAGTAGAGCTGCCCCACAGGGTTTCCAAGGCTGAAATCTTTACAGAAGCAGGTGGCCACATCTTTCTCCTGCGGGGCGGCTGATGGGTTGGAACCACCAAACTTTCCGTTAGCAGCTGAGTGCTTTAACCACCATGCCACCAGTGTTCCTGGATGTAATAACTTCTGCAAAAAAAGGGCTATTTGAAATATGTCAGTGCACATAAGTGAGGAAGAGCCTGAGCAAATTTATTCCGGGACAACCGAGCAAGACAGGACACTTGGCTCAGGTTCCTCCAGCTCAAGCCACTTCCAGCGCCAACTTCTCTACAAGGGCAAACGCTGCTGGTTGATGACGGAAACAGAGTCCTGGGTCCCTCAGATGCACACAGGGAACAGAAGCCTGCCTGTGTGTATTATGCCCACGACACCTAGATCTCCTTCCATTGCCCTCTGTCCCATGTGCTCATTTCACAGACCGGCTTTCAGAAGGGGCTCCTGGCTGTCGGTGGCTGGGTGAGTGAACTTCAGATCAGCTAACTACCGAGAACTCCATTTGCGGAAAGTGGAGACGTTTACGATGGAATCTGAAGTATGGGAAGCTAACAGATCAATGGACTGGAGATGGGACGGAACGAGTGTCCAGCAGGGAAACTCCGCCAACAGGATGTACAGGGCAGGAGTGAGAGGCCCACAGGAAAGCCGGGCGCTGGACCCTCCGAACAGGCATGGCTTTTGCAAACTCTGAACGCAGCGGCCAAATGCTGACCACAAGGCAGACGCCAAACACAAACCCTGCCAGGAAGAGCCCCGTGCCTCTCTCAGCCCCGTGTGGTTAGCACACCCGCAGGATCGCTTCTCGGTGACTCGGCAGCACCTGAGAGCTGCGGTTGCTTTGTTTCTTCCTTAGACTGTGTGGAATTATAAAGTGGAATAATGAACGTATTTCCAAACATCTATAAAAAATGTCTCAAGGTTTTTATGTCTTTGATACACTACGCGTCTTGAATCCAAAAATCTAATGTGTTTCTAAATCCGAGAAAACTAACCAGTACCTATCAACCTGTACGTTTTAAGAATTCTCACAGCATGGCTGGTCTCTCTATTGAAATCAGACAATAAGACTTTAAAAGTTACCCAGAAAGACTCTGTGAGAAAGTACTAAAAGCTAGAAGCTAAAATAACACTGTCCTATTATAGGATTTATTTATTTGTCCTTGCACAAAAGAAGAAGTAGGTTTTCCTACTAAAACACCGAAGTATCTCCACACAGCTTCTATTTGACACACCCAGCTAAAAAACAAGTTTCACCCTGGTCAAAACAGCTCCGGTCTTCTTTTTAAATTTTTTTATGCTTGCAAAAATACGGGTAACACAAAAATTGGCCAATTCAACATTTTTCACTTGTACAACTCTGAAACCAATTACCTCAGTCAGGCTGTATAACCATCACCACACCCATTACCGTATTTCTCATCCCCATAAACAGAAATTCCATGCTCGCTAAGTACTTACTTCTTTTTTTTCCCCTTATGGACCAGCCCATCCCCTCCCATCTTTGACTGATTACACTTGACCTCCAACTTACTCAGGCCAACATGTATGTTGACTTATGCGTTTGCCTTTTGGTTTCTGTGGAAAGAAACCTTTCTGTCTAAGTAAATGGACTTTAGCCACAGCAGCAGCAGCAGGCCGGTGGGAGATCTGGGCAAGTAAACAGCTTCTCACTAAGCCAGATGGTGGGGGATCACCTGGGGTGGTGGGGCCAGGCCAGCGGGGAGGACCAAGCCCTGCCCCTGGAACCATCAGTGAAACAGTAAGTACTGACCAGGGCTTGGTGTGTGGCCCGCACATGCTCCCAGAAAGCCTGCTTCTTCCGGAAATCTCCCCCACCCCACCCCTCTAGTTGTAGATTGAACTACGTTCCCCCTCAACTGTAAAAACAGCAAGGAGGAGGTGTCTGGCCTCCTCCAACCCCGCAAGGGCGAAGAAGAACCAATGTCAACAGCCCAAGAGTTCCCAGCCCAAACAGCAGCCAGTCTGCTTTATTTTGGCCAAGTCCCCATTGCAAGTTCCCTGTGGGTTCACCTGGGGAAGCGGATGTCTTGTTTTAGAAAATAAAGAGGGTTTCCAATGTAATCTCATTTAAGACCAGAGCAAGTGATGGTATTCTCCACCCTCAGGATTGTGAGGACATTGAAGGATACCTGGCCGGAGACCCCCAACCCCCCTCAGAGATTTGCACCCACTCGGGCACAGCTCAAGTCCTGATGGTAAAGGGGTTAAGCCCTTGGCTGGTAATCAAAAGGCTGTTGGTTCGAACCCACCAGCCTCTCTGTGGGACAAAGATGTGCCAATCTGCTCCTTTAAAGATTTATAGCCTTGGAAACTTTATGGAGCCCTGGTGGCGCTGTGGTTAAAGAGCTCAGCTGGTAACCAAAAGGTCGGCAGTTCGAATGCACTAGCCACTCCCCGGAAACTCTACGGGGCAGTTCTATTTTTGTCCGATAGAGTCTCTGTGAGTCGGAATCCACTCGACGGCAACAGGTCTGGTTTTGGTTTGGACACAGCTCAGACCAGCTATTGTCAAGCCTGGGCTTAAACTGGTGTGACCAACCGTCAAGATGGCCTGTGACTGAGTGGGCCCCAGACACAGGGCTTCAGCACTAAGTGGTGGTATTCCCCAGCGAGCCGGGGCAATGCGGCCACCCAGCTTGAACACACAAAGTGACCGGGACACGTTCTATTCCGGACATTCTTTAAAAAATGGAAAATCAACCTTGAATTGTTCAGTGTCACCCTTGGAAATTTTTCGGGACTATGAATCCAGGACTTGTTTAATCCAATATTTGACTCTTCTAGTGTCTTACCAATTTTTTTTTTTCCTCATTACATTGCCCCCTAAGGAGCCCTTTGAGACATGTTTTTTCCTTAACAGGTTCCCCTGATGAAATGTTAATAAGAGATGTACTGTCTATCAGTTTATCTACTATGTGTGTGCATGTATGTTTTATACATAAAAAAGTAAGGTACTTCTCTATTGTATAAGACCACTATTATAGGAACTCAGGAAAAAGTTTAAACACAGAAGAAAACATTCTTTCATGGTTACGGGGGTGGGGAAGGAGGGGGAGGGTTATTTACTAACTAGATAGTAGATAAGAATTATCTTAGGT